AAGCAAGGTGCAAAAACTTCATGGCCTAGAGATGTTGAAATCATACAGACTGTTCTCCTATTACTGTGGAATTATGTTAGAAATCAGTATCAAAAGATGTTTGAAAATAACCCAGATATTTTCAAGTGCAATGTGACATTTACCAAGAGAGATCTTCGACTTAGCCACTGAAAGCCACAGTAAAGTGAGGCTGGAAAAAACAGGGTGATTGCAGAGAAGAAAGCATTTAAATGAGGAATTAGTATCAAAATGGCTGCTTCTGTCTTGAGGGAACTTATGTAAGGGTTTCTCTTTCTGAGTTTATGTCCTTTTGGCCTTAGATTCAATGACACTGCACATGATGAAGAGCAAATTTTAAAAACTGCAATCCCGGGAGGTGGGAGGGGGGACGGGGATGGGGAATACATGTAAATCCATGGCTAATTCATTTCACTGTATGACAAAAACCACTGCAATGATGTAAAGTAATTAGCCTCCAACTAATAAAAATAAATGAAAAAAAAAAAGCAAAAAAAAAAAATAAATAAATAAATAAAAACTGCAATCCCCCTAGCAGCTACCCAGAAAATGCACAAAGTGAAATTTACATTCCTTGTCATTACAAATCATTATATTGGTCCTGCTAGGCAGCTGCCCTAAATTATTAGTTTATTGGGACTATGGTTTATTCATCTCTATTTTTTGCAACACTTAGCACTCTATTAACACAAAGTTCATGGTCAATGAGTTATGTGTTGAACTAACCTGAGAAAAATTAAATATCCTCAAAGGTGGGAGATCTACCATTTGAAAACAGTTTCAGAATTTGGGAATAGGCAAAAGTCATCAGGAATCAGATGTAAGAATCATTCCACTTAAAGGCACTATGTGGCCATTAAGTAGTGAGTGATTGTCTTGCGTGGCCCGTAAACTAATTAAAAGGACAACTCCCAGAGAGGATCTACTTCCTTCCTGCAAAACCCTGAGTTCACACAACTAGCTGCATATGCTCGTTCACTGACCGCTTACAATACTTAGGGTACTATCTGGGCACTGGATATACAAAGTTGGAAAAACTAACATAATGCATTCATAGCCATCAATCCTTCCCATACCACAGTGTATATTTTACATTATTGCAGCTTCTTTTTTGTCTATCTGCACTAAACAAAGCTGATACGCTCTGTGACAACAGAGATGTGTGTATTTTTTGCTCACCATTGTATTCTTTGCCTCCACCAGTGCCTGGAACCTGGTAGAATGAATTCTCAACAATTCTTGCCGACCAGCCTTCTTCCTTCTTTAATTAAACCCCCCCCTTTCCTGAGAAGCATCTACAGCTTGTGGTTTACTTGATTCTGATTCCACCTGTATTGCAAAAGAATTGCACACATCAGAGTTCACACTGAACTTTTCAGAGATTTAAGGAGAAGATCTTTCCTCTGAGATTGACCAAGCTGTGGATCAATCTTGGCAGTTGTCATGCCTGCCACATGGTTGCTGTTGCTACTTCACCTATGTCCCTTTTACAGGGAAGATTAACACAGACGTTCCCATCTAACAGCTCTTGACTCATCATCAAGGGAATACAAAAGGCAAAACACCCTCAAGATTTCCCTGGCGGTACAGTGTTTAAGATTCTGTGCTTCCAATGCAGGAGGTGTGAGTTTGATCCCTGGTCGGGGAGCTAAGATCACACATGTGGCATGTTGCGGCCAAAAAAATAAGAAATAATTTCTTTTTTAAAAAAGCAAAACACTCTTGACTCCAGGTAGGATAAACTCTGGTGTGATTTATGCTTTAAATCTCCCCATGTGGAAAAACTGAAACTAGTTTCCAATGGAGGCTGTGTTCTTACTTGACTTTCTTCCCCTGTTTCCCTTCCACATCTTTTCTTAAAGGCATCCCCAATATAAATCACTTTCATAAGAATCCTATCTCAGACTCTATTTCTAGGGGACCCAACCTAATCAACTTGTACAAAAAAAAGATGAATACAAATCACATCATTTGAGTGCCTGGATCACACCATGTTTTTCATTGTACTTTTCCATTAGGTGAGCTGGCTTGTTTAAGCTATTTAGATTTGAGTTTGTATCATTTGCATCTAAAAGAGTCCTGACCTTTAGCAGCATTCTGTAAATGTTTGTTGACTAAGTATATTGAATTATAAATGGAGTAAAATGAAAATATAGGTGAGGATGGAAATGTGAGCTAGCTTGTTTAAGCTACTTGGAGTAGCTTTCTGTCATTTGCATCTTAAAAGGTCCTGATATTCAGACATTCTGTAAATGTTTGCTGAATAAGTATATTGAACTATAAATAGCATAAAATGGAAATATAGATGAGGATGCAATGAAGTCCACTGAGTATTTTGAGGAGAGATGGCAATTTACATTTATCTGACCCTGAAAGCATAAATAGTTAATCAGTAGGAAGGTGAGGGGTGAGGACTTTCTAGGCCTAAGGAACCTTTATAAGGACAAAAGTTTGGAAATGTGAAAGTACATGGTATTTGAGAAAAATGAGTTGTTCTGCAAGGGTAGAGCAAAAGAGTGAAAAAATGCTTATTATGTTGAAACAGCAAGTCTAGAGATTGTATGGGAAGAAAGGCAGACAATTACTGGCATGTTTGCCAAGACTGTGGGCTAATGTTGACAGGTAGGCTCTAAAAGATGGTACAAGATATGCAGACAACACCCTGATATGTTTGGAATGCAATGGTAAAGAGATTGCAGCCAGTGTAACCAAGATGTTGCTATTAGTCATGGTCACATTGCAATCAAGGTCAAGATCTGCTGAGACTCACTGATTCTGAGATGAGTTCTTTACCCACATGGGAACTCAGCATACACATCAGTCTCCTTGGTGTCATTTTGTCCCGATCTGTTTCACTTGGGTGATGCTAGAGCTGGCCTGTACAGGGTAAAGTGCATTAATTTTGATCCTGTTAAATCATCATCAAAGTTACTGGGTTTTTTTCAGAAAGCAATGTTATAGGTACAGAGCTCATATTGATTGCTCATAATAATACCTGCTCTCACAATGTACATTATAAACCTCCATTTATACAGCCAGATGCTTTCACATGAATTTTTCCTCTTCATTTTCACAATCATCCAAAAAGGATCAAAGAAGTTTGAACTTTGCCAGTCACCAGACCTTAAATCATGTCTTCTCTTTTCAAGTTTATGCCTCTTTCTGTTACCTGAGACAGGTAAGTTATTCAGGTACTCCCATCTCTTAAAGAGAGTACCAGACCACCTTATCTGTCCCCTGAGAAACCTATATGTGAGTAAGGAAGCAACAATTAGAACCAGACATGGAACAACTGACTGGTTCAAAATTGGGAAAGCAGTATGACAAGGCTGTATATTGTCACCCCACTTATTTAACTTATATGCAGAGAACATCATGTGACATGCTGGGCTGGATGTATCACAAGCTGGAATCAAGGTCACCAGGAAAAATATCAACAACCTCAGATATGCAGATGATACCACTCTAGTGGCAAAAAGTGAAGAGGAACTAAACAGCCTCTTGATGAACGTGAAAAAGGAGAATGAAAAAGCTGGCTTAAAACTCAACAGTCAAAAAAAAAACCTCAACAGTCAAAAAACTAAGGTCATGGTATCTGGTCCCATCACTTTATAGCAAATAGAAGGGACAAAAGTGAAAGCAGTGGCAGGTTTTATTTTGGGGGGCTCCAAAAGCACTGCAGACAGTGACTGCAGTCATGAAATTAAATGACACTTGCTCCTTGGAAAGAAAGCTATGCCCAAACGAGACAGCTTATTAAAAGAGCAGAGACATCACTTTGCCAACAAAGGTCTCTATAGTCAAAGCAATAGTTTTTCCAGTAGTCATGTATGGATTTGAGTAGGACCATAAAAAAGGCTGAACACCAAAAAACTGATGCTCTTGAATTGTGGTTCTGAGGAAAACTCTTGAGAGTCCCTCGGATTGCAAAGAGATCAAACCAATCAATCCCAAAGGAAATCAACCCTGAATATTTACAGCAAGGGCTGAACTGAAGCTCCTAAACTTTGTCCATATAAAGTGAAGAGCCAACTCATTGGAAAAGACTCTGGTGCTAGGAAAGACTGAAGGCAAAAGGAGAAAGGGGGAGCAGAGGATGAGATGGTTGGATAGCATCACTGACTCAATGAGCGTAAATCCAAGCAAACTCTGGGAGATATTGGAGGACAGAGAAGCCTGGTGTGCTGCAGTCCCTGGGGTTGCAAAGAATCAGACATGATTTAGCAACAACAACAAGCCTCATGGTGATTCCTATGGACTTTCAATGAATATTTCCTAAGATGAGCTGCAATAGCACTGTTAGTTCTTGGTTCTTATCTCTTTGGTCTCAGGATAATGGTCTCCTTCAGCTGACACCTGCTCCAGGACCCCGGAAATCAGACTTCCTTTGACAGTAAGCTTTCTTCCTCAGCTGCTTTCCTTGCAGGAAGGGCCTGATCCTTATCTGACAAGCTTTTTGAATGTCTCATAAGTGTTTCAAACTAAACATGTCTAAGATGCAATTATGGATGATTTTTTAAAACCTATATATTCTCTACTTGTAGTCTTCCCCATTTTGGCGTATGATGTCACCATACAGTTATTAAAGCCCAAAACTTGAGTGTCAACCTGTTATTTTCATTTCCAAAATACATCTAGAATATTTTCACTTCTCTCCATGTATCTCCACCAGTACCATTCTAGTCTAAGAAAGCTTTCTTTCATTTTGACAGCTGCAATAGCCTTCTAGCTGAACTTCATGAACTTCAGGATTTTAACCTTGTTTACTTATATACCCAATCCATTCTATACACATGGTAGGAGTAAGCTTTTAAAAATATAAATCAGATCACAACATCCTTTGGTTTAAAATCCTTCAATGGCTTCTAATTGTACTTTGGCTAACAGTTTTTGTTTGTTGGTTTGTTTTTTAAGAAAGCACTTGTTAACATTTAATGAATTTTCCAGCATGTGGCTTCAAGCCACCAGGCCATAAGCCCCACCTACACCCTCAGTCTTCTCCTCAGCTCTTCTGCTGAAGAATTTGGCCTTCATGATGACAGGCTGCTTTGGGAGCTTTCCCTTCCCCAACACTTCGTAGTAACCCTAGAAGAACAGAGAAAAGGGTTTATAACACACCATGGCCAAGAGCGTGAAGAAAGATGCAGACCAATCCACTCCATCTTGGAGCCAGTGAGGGCATGTGTCTGATCTGGGCACTGCTGGGGGCAATGATTGACCTCACCAGTGAATCAAGAGCAGCAGATTTTCTCCAAGGACTCTAGCACACCAGGACCAAGAGCTGTCAGGATGTGATTGTAGTCTCGAGCTGGATAACTCGGTTCTTGAGTCCTCTCCAATGCCCTGTAAGCACCGCCTGCTTACCTCTCCAGGATCACCGTGCTCTTGGCTTAGTATAAATCTCATTGGCTTTCTGTCAGTCCCCAGGCTACACCCAGCTTTTTTCCTGCCTCAGGGACTCTGCTGTTGTACTTTCTTTGCTCGAAATGCTTTTGATGGGGCCAGTTCTCTCTTATTCTTTGTCCCTTGACAAAATTTTAAGTCTTTAAAGTGAAGTTTTCTGTAAACCCCCCATCAATGGTAGCTATCTCTGATAATCTCAATTTCGGCAGACTTTCCTTTTCTTTACAGAAACCTGCAATTACTTGCTGTAATTATCTTGTTATTTGTGAAATTTCTTGTTACATGTCTCTTGTACAAGAAAGTAAGCTCTATGAAGGCAGTGACATTGTCTCTTCTTGATTATAACACTAATCCTTGGCGCACAGTTGGCCCTGAATAAATATTCTTTAAATGAACAAACGATTGAATGACCTCCCACTTAAATGAGAAGGCTATAAGATCTAGGATTTACCTTGGTTCTCATGCCATTCAGATGGCCACTTATCCAGCCCAGGCCAGAGAGAAAATATAGAAGATGTTTGAGAACTACAGAAGGAATTAATCTTTTTGCAGTGAAACTATTTGGGGACTTGGAGTCAAAAGAACTGCATTCCAATTTGAGAGAGTTACCTAAACCTGAAAATGGATCATGTTGCCTACCTTGTCTGATACAGAACAGATGATAAAAATATGATAGCTTAATTATTAAAGTCATAATATTACCTTATATGATTTTTATGAGGATTATATTAGATGTGTATATGTGTTTTTGGTATATTATAAATGTTCTTTAAATGTTTCTCTCATAAAACACATAGTTGAAAGAAACACAGCTGCTTTCTTATTCAGAACAACTCTGAAGGAAAACAAAGTTGGAGGACTTACACTTCATGATTCAAAATGTACTAAGAAGATAATCAAGGCAGTGCAGTAGCAGCATAAGACACAAAGATCAATGGAATGGAATTGAGAGTCCCAAAATAAACCATCACTTTTACTATCAGTTGATTTTAAATTAATTACTTATTAATTTATTATTACTAATAAATCAACTATTTATTGTTTTTTGTTGTGCTGGGTCTTCTTTGCTGCCCGAAAGCTTTCTCTAATCATGGCAAGTTGGGAGCCACTCTTCATTGCAGTGCTCGGTCTTCTCATTGCTGTGGTTTCTCTTGTTGCAGAGCACAGGCTTTAGGCACCCATGCTTCAGGAGTTGCAGCTCCCTGGTTCTAGAGCCCAGGCTCAGTATTCGTGGCACATGGGCTTAGTTGCTCTATGGCATGCAAAATCCTCTCAGACCAGGGGTTGAACCCGTATCTAAGATTCAGTTGATTTTTTTTTTAAGTTTTGTTGAGATAAAGTGTCATAACTGACAATTTTCCATCTTAATAATTTTTAAGTGTACCACTCTGTGGTATTAAATATATTCATAATGTGGTACAACCATCACCACCATTCATCTTTATAACTTTTAATCTCTTAAAGCTAAAACCCTATACCCATTAAACAATAACCTCTCCCCCGCAATGCCTGACAACCACAATTCTACTTTCTCTCTCTAGATTTTGACTACTCTAAATACCTACTTCATAGAAACATGTAGTATTTGTCTTTTTGTGACTGGTTCATTTCAATCACCATAATATCCTCAAGGTTTATCCATGTTGTAGCATATGTCAGAATTTCCTTCCTTTTAAAGGCTGAATAGTATGCCATTGTATGTTTATACCACATTTTGCTATTCAATCATCAATGATGAACACATAGGTTGCTTCCATGTTTGAGCTATTGTGAATAAAACTGCTAGGAACATGCGTGTACAAAGAAGTGTCCTTGCTTCCAATTCTTTTGGGAATATCTCCAGGAGTGGAATGCTAGATGATACAGTAACTGTATTTTTAAGGAGCTGCCATACTCTTTTCCATAGTGGCTGAACCATTTTACTTTCCCACCAACAACACACAAGGATTCTAGTTTCTCCACATCCCCATTGACATGCTATTGTTGGTCTTTCTTTTTTTGGTAGGACCCATCCTAATGGATGTATGTCATTATAGTTTTGATTTGCATTTTCCTAATGATTAGTGATGTTGAGCATGCTTCATGTGCTTACTGGCCATTTATAGACAACCTAAATTCTTTTTTTTCCTGACTGCACAGTATAGCTATGAGGATCTTGGTTCCCCATCAGAGTAACTTAATTGCTCCTGCAGTGAAAACATGGAGTTCCTAAGCACTGGACCACCAGGGAATTCCCCCTTGTTGGCCATTTATATATTTTCTTTGGAGAAATATCTGTTTCAGTCCTTTGCCAAATTTTTAATCGGTTTGTTTTTGTTGTTATTAAGTTTTAAGAGTCTCTGTATACCCTGAAAATTAATTCCCTATCATATATATGCTTTGTAAATATTTTCCTTTATCCTGTGAGTTGCCCTTTTATTTTATCAACAGTTTCTTTAAAAAAATATTTTATTTATTATTATTTTGGCCGTGTGAGTCTTCATTGCTTCACAGGCTTTTCTCTAGTTGTGGTGAATGGAGGCTCCTCTCTAGTTGTGGTGCTTGGGCTTCTCATTGCCGTGGCTTCTCTTGTGGTGGAGCACAGGCTCTAGGGTGCACAGGCTTTAGTAATATGGGTGCATAGGCTCATTAGTTGCTGCTTCCGGGCTCTAGAGCATAGGCTCAAAACTTGTGGCATACAGGCTTAGTTGCTTCTTGGCATATAAGATCTTCCTGGATCAGGAATGGACCCCGTGACTCCAACATTGGCAGGTGGATTCTTTACCAGCTAGCTACCAGGGAAACATGACAGTGTTTTTTGATGCACAAAATTTTTAGATTTTCATAAACCATAATTTGTCCATTTTAAATTTTGTCACCTGTGCCTTTGGTGGCACATTTAGGAAATCATTGCTAAATCCAATATTGTATTGCTTTTGTCCTATTTTTCCTCCTAAGGGTTTTATACTTTTAGGTCTTATATTTGAGTTTTTGATCCATTTTGAGGTAATTTTGTATGTCATGTTAAATAAAAGTCCATTTATTCTTTTGCATGTGAATATCCACTTTTGCTGGGCTTCTCAGGTGTCACTAGTGATAAAGAACCCCTTGCCAATGCAGGAATAAGAGACATGGGTTCAGTCCTTGGATTGGGAAGATCCCCTGGAGGAGGGCATGCAACCCATTCCAGTATTCTTGCCTGGAGAATCCTATGGACAGAGAAGCGTGGTGAGCTACAATCTATAGGGTCCCAGAGAGTCAGACATGACTAAGTGACTTAGCACACAAGCATCCAGGTTTTCCAGCACCATTTGCAAAAAGGCTGTTCTTTTCCAACTGAATTGTCTTGGCACCCTTGACAAAAATTATCTGACCACATATGCAAATAGTTTGTTTCTTGACTTTTCATTTTATTCCACCTATCTCTCTCTCTCTCTCTCTCTCTCTCTTTATATATATATATATATATATATATATGTCTGTTTTTATGCAAGTACCACACTGTGTATGGTCAACTGGTTTTTGACAAGGATGCCAAGACAGTTCAATGGAGAAATAATAGTACTTTTATTAAATGATATTGGGACAATTGAGTATCTACATACAAAAGAATGAGGTTGGATTCCTACTCACATCACATACAAAATTCAACTCAAATAGATCAAAGACCTAAATTTAACAACTAAAATCACAAAGCTCTTAGAATAAAACATAGAAATAAATCTTGGTGACTTTTTATTAAGCAATGGTTTCTTAAATATGACACCCAAAGCACAAGCAACCAAAGAATAAAAGATAAATTGAACTTCATCAAAAGTAAAAATTTTGTGCCAAAGGATACCATCAAGAAAGTGAAAAGAAAACCTACAGAATAGGGGGAAATATTTACAAATTATATATTAAATAAAGGAATTATATTCAAAGTATATAAAGAACTCTTACAACTCAACAAGAGAAAGACAACCCAACTTTTAAATGAGCTAAAATCCTTTAAATTGAAGGATTTTAATAGACACTTCTTCAAGGAAGATATGCAAATGGCCAATAAACACATGAAAATATGCTCGACGTCGTTAGTCATTCAGTTCAGTTCAGTCGCTCAGTCACGTCTGATTCTTTGTGACCCCATGGACTGCAGCATGCCAGGCTTCCCTGTCCATCACCAGCTCCCAGAGTTTACTCAAACTCATGTCCATTGCGTCAGTGATGCCATCCAACCATCTCACCCTCTGTCATCCCCGTCTCCTTCCTCCTCCTTCAATCTTTCCCAGCATCAGGGTCTTTTCCAATAAGTCAGTTTTTTTTGCATTAGGTGGCCAAAGTATTGGAGTTTCAGCTTCAGTATCAGTCCTTCCAATGAATATTCAGGACTGATTCCCTTTAGGATTGACTGGTTGGATCTCCTTGCAGTCCAAGGGACTCTCAAGAGTCTTCTCCATTAGGGAAATGCAAATCAAAATCATAAGGGAAATGCAAATCAAAACCACAATTGAGATACAACTGTATACCATGGAATGGATATTTTTTAAAAAGATCACTAAGAATTAGCAAAGAAAAAAAAAGACTTCAATAAACAATGCAGAAAGTTATTTAAATAAAGAAATATTGGTGGGAAAAAAGGAGTGAAAACATGGAGAAATTGGATTCTCATACCTTGCTGGTGGAAATGTAAAGTGCACTTTGGAACACAATATTGTATTTCC